GCTGGAATGTAGCAGGTGCATTACACAATCCAAAAGGCATACGTCGATAAGCGAACGTGCCTTATGGACAAGTGAATGTCGTTTTTTCTTGATCCTCCGGGCGAATAGGAATTTGGAAAAATCCGGAGTATCCATCAAGGAAGCAATAGTAAGGGTGATTAGCTAATCTCTAGCATTTGATCTATGAAGGGAAGTGGAAAATGATCTTTCCTAGTTGCTGCATTCAGTTTCCGGTAATCGATGCACATACGATGTCCAGTTACTGTTCGTGTAGCGATCATTTCATCTTTATCATTTTTAATGACAGTGACTCCTCCTTTTTTCGGAACAACATGAACTGGGCTAACCCAAGTGCTATCTGAGATAGGAAAGATTACTCCAGCTTCTAAAAGCTTCATAATCTCCTTCTTGACAACATCCATGAGATTAGGGTTCAGTCTCCTTTGACTTTCAATTGAGTTTTTAGCATTATCCTCTAGATTAATCTTGTGCATACAAAGATTGGAGAGATTCCAGGTATGTCATCAAGCGAATATCCTAAGGCTTTTCTATGCTTTCTCATCTCAGTCAACAGCATTTTGGTTTCTTCTTCCGTCAAACCAGAGTTTATTTTGACAGGATAAGTAGAATTTGGTCCAAGGAAAGCGTACTTAAGTCCGACGGGAAGAGGTTTAAGCTCGACTTTAGAGGCTTTAAGCTCGCTCCAAGGATCATTAATTGCTGCAGCAGTGTCTTTATGAGATGTAGGAATGTTTGTTTGGTCCTTAAGATCTAGATAGTTCAGAGGTTTCCTATAAGTTTCGGACTTATCAAGCATACGTGCGCACTCACTTGACATTTCTTCAAGGAAATTGCGTTCGTCTTTTGCGGGTGAAAGCGTGACACTTAAAGGGTCGTCTAGAAGCAGATCTTCATAGAATTCCTCAATAATTCCGTCTAACTCATCAACCCAACAAAATTTGCCATCCAAAGTCGGTTTATCGAAACTTTTGTTCATGTCAAACTGCATAACTAACTCGGCTAGATGAAGGTCAATTTTTCCTTCAGGAATATGCTCCGGCTGTTAGATAGGAATGGTCTTCCAAGAATAAGGGGATCCTTAGGTTCTTTTTCTAGTTCTAGAACTACGAAATCGGTGGGTGTGGAACATTTTTCGATTTCGACGGGAACATCAATTAAGATACCTACATGTTGTCTAACAGAACGATCAGCTAGTACTAAAGAAATTTTAGTGGGCTTGAAAGTGTGATGTCCTAAACATTTTGCTACTGAAAGAGGCATCATGTTTATGCTAGATCTTAAATCAAAGAGAGCACGTTCAAAAGCTACATCATTGATGGTGCATGAAAGTACAAAACTTCCAGGATCTTTTTTCTTTTCAGGGATTTGGCTTTGCAGGATAGAACTACATTCATGGGTTATCATCATAACGCCTTCTTCAAGAGTTAAAAAATTTGTTAAAATACCCTTCATGTATTTTCTTAAAGCAGGAATCATAGCACAAGCTTCTACGAAAGGTAATCTCACATTTAATTGATCGATCAGCTCTTTCAGCTTAGATTTTTCTTTCTCTTTCTTAGGGGCTCTTAAGGCTCTAGGATATGGAGGTTTAGGTTTATAGACACGAGTTGGTGGAGGTGGAATCGGGTCTTCTCCAAGGATTTCCCGGGATTAATCTTTTTTTACTTCTTCTCCATCCTTTTCTCCTACCACTTCTTTTTTAATGTCTTCATTCGTGATTCTTTCTTTTTCTTCTCCTTTTCCTTATCCTTTTCCTCATCTTCTGGATCTTTAGGAAATTCAGGCTCTTTGTAAGCTAATCCACTCCTAAGTGTGATAGCTTTCACATGATCGGAGGGATCTGCTTCGCTTGAGCTTTCGAAAGAATTTTCACTTCGCTCCTCTTCAGAATTTTCTAAGTTTTTAGAATTAGTTTTGATCATCAGGCTAAGGAGGGTGGAAAATTTTTCATTGAAATCCTCTTGCATTGTTTTTAGTTCAGATCTAAGATCACTAATCTCTTGAGACCTAGATTTTTCAAGCTCTAGAATTATTTTGTTTAGGTTTTCAGCTTCAGAAAAGGGAAAACCAGGATATGGAACAGAATTACATTGAATAGCCAAGATTGGTTCGGAAGGTGGTTTCCAGGCAAGTTCGGAAGACGGTTTCTCGCGGTCAGAAGGCTCGCGACCGCGGTGAAACAGGTCCTGGCTGCGGTCAGAACAGCCACGGCCGCGGTGAAAGCTTGGTTTGTCGCGGTCCGGATGAATGGACCCGCGGTGATCAGAAACGAATGGAAAATCTTGAATTTGATAGACTTCTGTAGTGTTCACCATCCCTTGATCATAAGAATCCATTGGGTTGTCCCAACCGTCAAAGTTACATGTATTGTGTGCCTTGTTTGGTTGCTGCAATCCAAGATGACTCATTATGTGATGGAGACACTTCATAACTTCCGAAATTTCTTCTTTCTTCTCAGGAAGTGCAGAATTACCAAATGTTACTTGATTTCGGATGCTGTTTCCTAAATTTTTAATGAAAACGTGAGCATCTTCTACAGATCTATTTGTGAAATCTCCATTACTTGCTTTGTCGAATGAGTGTCGTAGCTCTGGAGTTATACCGCGATAAAAAATACCCAGCAGGTATTCTTCGGTGTATCCATGGTGTGGACAATCTCTTTGGTATTCCCTAAATCTTTCCCAAGTTTCTAAAAGATCTTCATCTTCTTTTTATTTATAAGTTCTTATCTTTTTCCTTAAGAGATTTGAACGATTTCTAATGTAAAAACGATTTAGGAAAGCAATTCTACATGCTGCCCACGTTTTTAGTGAAGCAGGTGGCAAAGATTTTAGCCATTTGCTGGCATTATCTCTAAGAGAGAATTGGGAAAGACTACACTTGTGGTAATCCCCATTTGCTGTAGTGGTTGCACATAATTCTTCGAACATCTCGATATGGTCTATCGGGTTTTCGAATGAATAACCATAGAATTGATTTTGTTGAACTAAATAGATATAGGGTACCTTAATTTCGGTTTTGCCATCCTCTGGTAAGGCTGGTTGAATAGCTCTTCGATCTCCCATTAACTTTTCGAGTGAATCGAAACTTCCAATCAGTTCATCATCATCTTCATGTTTTGTCGATCCGATTAGCTCATTGTCATCATAGATCGGTTCTTCAAACTCATCATCAGTCAGATCATCATCGCTTGGATCACCATCCACACGATATGGTGGATCACCAAGAGTTCCGGGAACATGTTCCCAATCTCTCATTGTAGAGAAACCTGAAAAAATCAAAAGAAAAAGTAAAAATAAACAAGTGTTCTAATGGATTTAAGCTGGGATTCGCAATGAAAAAAATTTAAGTCCCGGCAACGGCGCCAAAAACTTGATTGCGAGCAAAAGCGGGGTTGTTGTTTTCGATCTACTAAGCTTCAGGTTTTAAATTTATAACCCTTAAATGTCTGCAAGTGCACAGATGTGCGCTGTAGTACTTAGGGTATCGATCCACAGAGACTTAGTTGTTTCGGTACGAATTCACGGCTACGCTTAAATCAGACTAGAACTAAAAGGTTTTGGTTTTGGTTTTGAGTTTTGGTTGTCACTAAATCTAAACTAGAAAGCAAGTAAAAACTAAAGAGCAATTGAAAATGAAAGCAAATAAAAGTAAGTAAAATCGATTAAACAAAAGCGAATGAAGGCAAGTAAATAGCGATTGAAAAGCAAATAGAATTGAAGGTTGTAAGCAATGAAAGACAAACGTTGGGGCTCAATGGGAATTCGCAGGGATTCATGGACTAGGCTATGTCGATTTTAAACAAGTAATAAAGGTAATCAGCTACGTATGTTCTAAAACTCGAGGCACGGAAGTATGAATAGCCTACTTTCGCAGCACTAAACAACTATCTCTCGCAACCCTGATCAGTAGGTTTCCACTCTGATCCTGGAAGGGAGAAGATGCAATAACAGAACAAGACTCATCAATATTCACAACTCAACTACAGGTAGGTTTCCACTCCTATAGAATAATTGCTCGTTTCACCCTAGTTCAGACAATCAATGAAAGCTTTCGCAACATATCATATCAGATCGGCTTCTAAGTGGCCAGCAAAGAATCACGCAGTAGGATTTAAGGCAAACGAAGAACATCTAGAAGATTATAAATCCTAAATCTATCGATTCATAAGCAAAGACACATGAAATTCCCTTTGAACAATCCCTTTAAACCCAACTGGGTAACTACTCAAACATATTGTAAACAATCATCACAGAGTATTGAAAGTGCAGGAAATTAAAGAAAAGAAGGAAGAAAAACGAAGAACAGAGAAGCAGATGGAGGCGCGATGTCTTCCTCCAGCGGCGGCTCCTCCTTCAAGGGTGGCGGCTCCTAGGGTTTGTGAAGCACCCACACGAAATCTCTCTCTCTTTCTATCTTATGTCGTCTCCTCTCCTTTAGGAATGACCTAAAGGGGGTATTTATAGCTTCTGGGGTGGTTCTACACACTTAGGGCTTCAAAAATAACGAAAGGAATTGATCTGGGCTTTAATTAAGTCGTCTGGAAAGTGAACGACCAAGTTCCGCAGTCGCGGTGGGCTCTACCCGCAGGAAAATGGGTGTTGGCCGCGTTCCCGGCACATGCTCTCTTCTGGAACTGCATTTTCTGTCATTCTTGCATCGGGAGTATCTGAAGATCTAACCGTTGGATTGTCTCCAAACAAGTGCATTAGAAAGCTGGTTGGATCCTCTATGTTGTCTCAAATTTTGGGGGTGATCAGACGGTGATAAGGTCTTCATCGCTTGTCATACTTCTGACGGTCTGCATTTATCCAAAATTGCTCATTTGTTCCAAATTGTATATCTTTTGCCCAAGTTTCCTGTAAAGTCTTTTGAAACTCTAAAACATTGAAAACACTTTAAAAACCATTGAAAACAGAGTTAAAACACCTGCATATGACATAATTATGATCCATAAAAGTGGTCAAAATATGGTGTTATCAGGAAGACACTGTGTCTTGGTAATATTGGGATCCTCCCATGATCATGTTTATTCTTTGTCTTGGCTCGGGTCGCTCTTCAGCTTCACCTCTCCTGTCGCGCTTGGTGTTATCGCCTCGTTGTTGAGGATTTGCGGGTTCTGTCGCGCCGTTCGGCTCGGCTCCATCTTTTGGCTCAGTAGGGACGAGGTCCTTAAGATTCACCACGCTCTGGAGCTCTCCCGCCGCCATATTAGCCGCAAGTTTGGCTCTTAGGGTTCGGCATTGCGCCGTCGAATGCCCGTAGGTTTGATGATACTCACAGAATGCTTTTTCGTCGTAGTTAGTGGGTCTCCTTACCCAAGTGTTGTTGTGCGGCTCTCCTCTTCTACGTCCAGCGCCTACTTGATAGTTATGGGCGCCTCCGCTTCTCGGTTCCTCGGAGCTCTGTGTTGTTGTGTTGTTTGACGGGTTACCTTTCTTCGAGGGGCGCGTCAAGATTGAGCTCCTGATCGCTGCTTTCGTCGCTTCGTACTGCTCGTCCAGATTTTTCATCTCTTTCTCGTTTACGACGAAGTCTGATGACCGATGTAGGGCATCTTGAATAGTTTGTGGCGTGTTGAGGGCCATTTCCCGTCGGAATTCAGATTTGTACCATAGAGACCCCTTCAGAGCCTCGAGTGCAGCCTTGTCACTTATTCCTTCTACTTTAGATACGACCGCCTTGAACCTCGCTATGTAGTCCCGAAGCAGATCGTTCGGTCCTTGGGATAATGTCCATAGGTCGGCATCAGAGGTTCCTCGATCCATGAACATCGAGTACTGCTTGAGGAACAGAGTGGAGAGCTGTTGGAAACTGCCGATTGAATTGCGCTCCTGTCTTGAAAACCTTTTGAGCGCGGCTCCCTTGAGATGGTCTACGAAGAGTAGGCAATATCCGGCATCTACCTCTTGTTCGGTCAGATTGGCGGCGTTTCTTGTGAAGGCTCGTCCCATTGCTATCCAAAACGCTGTGATGTGCGCCTTCGGGTCAGTTGTACCTTAGTAGAATGGGATTCTTACTTTCTCGGGCTTGGGAATCCTTGCCTCCGTGATTCTTGCCGTGAACGGTGTTCTTTGGGTTTCTTCAAGCATTCGATCGATCTCGGGCGCGGCACTTATCGCGTTATGCACTTGAGATTTCATGGCGCGTATCTCAGCCACTTTCCGAGCCATTGAGGCTCGCAGCTCTTCGATTTCGAGGGTTTGTGCGCGAGTCATTCCCTTCGATTGGCGAAGTCGCTCCCGCTCTCTCCTCGGCTCGTCTTCGCGCTGTGCCTGCTCGACCCATTGGAGGTTTTCCTCTTCTTCAGTCGGGTTGTCGCCGCGAGCCGGGTCGGTGACTTCATCAGTCCGAATGCTGTTTAGTGCCGAGGCGAGCTCTTCTTGGCTTATTCGCCGAGCCGAGCCGTTTTTTTGCGAATTCGTGGTTCCGTCGTTTTGTTGGGCGTCCACATCGATCGCGTCATTTTCCTCTTCGTTGGCTCGTCGCCTTGAGTTCCGACGGAGTGGAGGCGGCTCGGTTATATTGATTCGGGTTGCCGCGGGAGTCCGTTCGCCAAGGGAACGAAACATTGGTGTTGAAGTTTTTTTGCCACCTATCGTATAATTAAAATGCCAAATATGTTGTAATTTCGTTTAGGATATTGTAATTGTAATGAAGTCTACGAATGAAGTCTATGACTGAAGTCTACTAAGTTGTAATTGTAATTGTACTGAAGTCTACTAAGTAATTAACATGTTTGTATTGATAACTTTCGATTCTCTACGTAACACTGAATCCTGTGAAATATTATTGAATATGGACTATTGATAGTGTCTACAGAAAAAGTTTAGTAGAACTCATAAATATATTGCTTACAATAAATATAAGTTTACAAAGGAAGTCTACTACATAAGTCTACTAATGTCAATTAAACATAGAAGTAAACACAAAAACATAAAAAAATGGAGTCAACTAATTTCAACGCGGCCATTCATTTGCAAATCCAGGAATTGTTTTCCAGAATATGGCACATTCCAACTTCCAGAAGCAAGGACTGCATAGTTTGTCACCATATGAGTCGACAAGGCTTTCATCATTTATCCAGCGCTGGTTTGGCAGATTCATACAACCACAACTCCTTGATTGTGCCTTAGCAAAAACCTGGAAACCCGGTTCGTGAAACTCGTGAGGCTTCTTATAAGTACACGGAGACCTGTTGATATGCTGCATAGTCTTCCTCATCTTTGTTGCCTCTCCTGGAAGTAGACAATTAATGTGGTTAAATACATCATAGCTGCCATCCATGGTTAAAGAGAACATAACCATGGAGTACGTAGCCATGAGGCATCCTCCATTTGATGACACCTTTATTAAATCAAACCCTGCTTGGATGCTGGATTCATAGAAGATTAGAGAAACGCCTCGCAGGAATTGCGATGTAGGATTCCTATACTCCAAACAGCGACTAAAGATTGCGTCAACCTTTCCATGTTGATCCCAGACTCATGGAATGTTCCATGTTATTAGATCAACAGTTCTTAAAAAACCCTCTTCATTAGAATTCTCATTTAGATTTTTGGAAACAACCCTTGCTTTACTGAGAGCACTGTACAAATGACATTATTAGATGAGTTTAGCTCAACTTACACAATTTGGTAGGGTATGACCAGGTTGCTTGCATTGTGAGCAGCTCTATAGTTTGTGCAGCTTCCTTGGCTTCTTGCTTTTCCTCCTAGCAATTTCTAGCCATGATTGCCACCGAGACTTCTTCCGTCTGCCTGGTTTGCGGCGAATGTCTGGTGGAAGACATATTGATAGTTGGACTCCTTGGACCTCTGAAATTAGGGGATATATGTTGGCGGAGTATGCAGCAAACAAGTAGTTTTTCGAGTAAGTAGGATATACAAGAGAATCCACAGCTATCCCACCGGCTAATGCAGCTGCAATAGCATGTGAACATGGGATTTTCTCGATATAAAACACACCACATTCACACATTCTATGTTCCTGAACTAATTTCAACGCGGCCATTCATTTGCAAATCAAGGATTGCATAGTTTGTCACCATATGAGTCGACAAGGCTTTCATCATTTATCCACCGCTGGTTTTGCAGATTCATACAACCACAACTCCTTGATTGTGCCTTAGCAAAAACCTGGAAGACCGGTTCGTGAAACTGGTGAGGCTTCTTATAAGTACACGGAGACCTGTTGATATGCTTGCATAGTCTTCCTCATCTTTGTTGCCTCTCCTGGAAGAAGACAATGAATGTGGTTAAATACATCATAGCTGCCATCCATGGTTAAAGAGAACATAACCATGGAGTACGTAGCCATGAAGCATCCTCCATTTAATGACACCTTTATTAAATCAAACCCTGCTTGGATGCTGGATTCATAGAAGATTAGAGAAACGCCTCGCAGGAATTGCGATGTAGGATTCCTATACTCAAACAGCGACTAAAGATTGCGTCAACCTTTCCATGTTGATCCCAGACTCATGGAATGTTCCATGTTATTAGATCAACAGTTCTTAAAAAACCCTCTTCATTAGAATTCTCATTTAGATTTTTGGAAACAACCCTTGCTTTACTGAGAGCACTGTACAAATGACATTATTAGATGAGTTTAGCTCAACTTACACAATTTGGTAGGGTATGACCAGGTTTCTTGCATTGTGAGCAGCTCTATAGTTTGTGCAGCTTCCTTGGCTTCTTGCTTTTCCTCCTAGCAATTTCTATCCATGATTGCCACCGAGACTTCTTCCGTCTGCCTGGTTTGCGGCGAATGTCTGGTGGAAGACATATTGATAGTTGGACTCCTTGGACCTCTGAAATTTGGGGATATATGTTGGCGGAGTATGCAGCAAACAAGTAGTTTTTCGAGTAAGTAGGATATACAAGAGAATCCACAGCTATCCCACCGGCTAATGCAGCTGCAATAGCATGTGAACATGGGATTTTCTCGATATAAAACACACCACATTCACACATTCTATGTTCCAAATCAACAATACAATTCATGTTTCCTCCTTTCAAATAGTATCTCCAAGTGTCAATTCGGTCCACCTCTATTGCATCTGCATAATGTCCACGAATCGCCAGAAAATACTCCACTCCCCGAGTATTATGTGTTGTGAGACTCAAAGCATCCTTTCTGCGTTATAAAAACCACCGACCTACTTATCCAAGCACATCCTTCCACTCGACATTTAGCCACAAACAGGGTCTTCGTAGAATTCTCTGTTTTGAAAGCAAATTTTAACATTATCGCAGTCAATCTAACCTCTGATAACAGCTTGTCCTTTGTAGGGAAACTTGTCCTAACATATATGTTATCAGACCATGAGATGGGCGTGCTTCCTGTTTCACCATATCTGTTTCTGACATTATTAATACAGACTTCATCTTCATCATCATCTTCATCTTTCACTTTACCGTAGACACTGTAATCTTCTCCGTCAGAGTAAGCTGCATCTTCCACATCTTCTCCATCGTTCACATCAGAACTGGCTGCCTCATCATCGGTAGAATGTTCTGAATTTTCCTCAGAATCCTCACCTAAATCTTCATCTGATCCGTCCTGGTTCTCCTCAGTATCCATCTCCAGGCGACTGGACACAGAAAGACGTACCATATGCACTCTGCTTAACGCAATCAAGCTTGAAACTTGTCTGTCATTGGTGACATGCATTGGAGGTGTATCTGGAGCCATAGTTTGCAACATTGAGTCTGGTAGTGAGTAGGTTAACTCGATGAGATCAGCCTTCTTGCCCAAGTTATAATCATCTCACGCCATCTCAGTAAGCTCCCCCAAGGTGCAACCATCGTTCAAAAATCACATTCTTCCACCTTTGCCCATGTCAACCACAAAATGCCATGAATTCTCCTCAATCTTCCATTCCCGTACACAACAGGAATTTGAGCCATTCTATGGAAAAATAACCAGATATACCATATTAGCAAACACTGCATAAAGACTTTTGTATCAAGAGTAGACTTCTCCCGAAAAGAACATTAGTAGACTACACGACAAAGTCTACTTTGATAAGCTAAGTAGCTTAAAAAATCGAAACTTCTGATTCAACAATAAATATCGAATGAAATGAAATGAAATTCTCTTGGTAGTTCAACCACTTACTAAAAAGCATTTCTAATCCAAAAAATTTTAAAAATACATTATAAATTTGCATAAAACGCGTTTTAAAAAAAAACGGCAAAAAGTAGACTTCTAAAGTAGACTTCAAATGTAGACTGGAGGAGAAGTCTACTATTTCATAGTGAAGTCTAATAAAGAAGTCTACTAAAAAACAAGTCATTTTTGCAATTGACCAATCCGTTGACTTTTCCTTCAGTAAACTTCAGAAGTAGACTTCCGGCCAAAAAGGTTACTTTAGCATTTGACCGATGCATTGACTGACAAAGTAGACTTCTATTGTAGACTTCATGTAAGAGTAGACTTCTCTGACAGTCTACTTTTGAAGTCTACTTTTTAAATTGAAGTTACGGAAAAAATAGGTTATTTTTGCAATTGAATATTTTGAGTAGACTTCACAGTGAAGTCTACTAAAAAAATTCCTACTAAGTTTGACTGGAAAATATAAGTAGACTTCCCAAAGAAGTCTACAGTTTTTAGACTTCTTTGGGAAGTCTACTGAAATTTTTCAGAATTTTTTGAATTTTTTAATTTTTAAAAAACTGTAGTCAAACACTAAAATGACCTATACGTTTTTGGTCAAACTACAAAAGTAACTTTAACGTAGACTTCTTCTGCAGACGTAAACAGTAAACTTCATACGGAAGTCTATATTAAAAAGTCAAAATACGGTCAACTACAAAAATAACCTCTTTTCTTTAGTAAACTTCTTAAGCCTTCAAACAAAGTCTACTAGGTTTTTTTTTGTTTTCAAATGATATCGAGTAGACTTCTCGTGAAGTTTAACGAAGTCTACTTTTAAGAAGTCAATTGCAAA